AAGAGATGACTCACTTGTTTGGCTTTGATGTTGACGTCTCCTAATTGAAAGAGTCGTCTGATAACAGCCTTTTGCGTGTCGTCGTCCACTTTGGACAGGGAGACCAACATAGTCGCAGTGTATCCCGCCTTTGAATCAAACGAAATTTAATTATAATTTAATTGTAAAAAAGTTTGAGACAAATGAAAACCTTATTTGTTTTGTTTACGTCACAGACTTTCGAGTCGAGAAGTACTGACACGATATCAAAATTGTTAAGAGATATCGCGTAATGAATGGCTGTGTTTCCACTCTTGTCGTCCAAATTGACGACTCGATTCAATAAGTGTTTTGAAAACTTTTCAAAGCAATCGATGTAATCCTCAACACAATGGAAATCCGATTCCTTATCGGCGGCCACTTTGAACCACTCTTTTTCAATAATCGCTAAGCTTTTGATCTAAAAACAAATGATATATTAATTAAATTTTCTGTCATTTAATGAATGTATTGTAGACTAACTAAAGCAGATTTGTTGGCCTTTTCGGGTTTGACGAGATTATCGTTAAGGACTTTGAGGGCGGCCTTAATCTCCTGCGAGGGATCGACTCTGGTTCTGGACACAGGTTTAGCGACGGCTCCCGTCTCGACCTCATACGTGCCCTCATCTGATGAAGAGCTGCTTTCATCTTCGGATTCATCTGATTCTGATATCTTCAAGACGTCATCAATTAGATTAATGGCGTGCGATGTCTTAGGACTCAATAACTCTCTGTTCCTGAATTGCCGCTGAACTGTCTTTGGGCTCAACTCTGGTATTTTGATGGGAGAGTTGCGCTTAAGAGGACTCGAACCGACACTCAAACTCGGGTTCTTATAAACAAGGATCTCATCGCCGGTCTCTTCGATAATCTTGTCATTAATAGTCCGTCTCTCCAAAGAGCCGGTGCTTTGAATGGGTCGTGGAATACGACTTTGAATGGTAGGACTTGAGATCTTCTCGTGCGGAGCGCTAACGAAATCTTTGGCCACAGAAGTGATGGCGTCATTGCATTTGTCACACAAACGGATACTTTGTGCAGAACTGGCTCTCGAAACGGGTGAAGTGCTATAAAGTCCGTCCAAATTGGTCGGTCGTTCCCTCTCTGTTGTCACAGATTTGTCAATTCCGGTGACAATTCCAAAGACATTGTTATCTCCGACACCAATAGTCTCTGTTTGTTTGAGTTCACATTTGGGACAACTCTGAGAGCACTGAACTGTTTTGTTGTGAAAATGTTTGCTTTCGGTTTGAGTCCAATTGACTTTAAGGCCAAAATCTTTTGAAGTGCAGACAACGCCGGCATTTCTAAGAGCCGGCGTCTCAGTCCTAGTGCTGACATCACAACACTTGGGCGACGCCTGTGTTTGCGAGTGAGTGTAGACGACACGAATCGGGTCAGTGCCCCACGAAACCAAAGCCGGTCTCTTAGCTTCCAGTTCTTGTATGCTAATCGTGTCGATAGCTTTGAGGTCCGTTTCGATGGCAATACTCTTTCGGGGTAGACTTGGGGCCAAACTCGTGGAGATGCCAATTGAACGCTTCAATACAGGTGCTGCCGGTGCTGTCGTCGCTAACGGGACAACCGGTGACATTTCAGGCGTTATTGATATTGAACTTAAAACATCTAAACTTAAATGCTTTTTATTAGTTAGCTTTTCATCAGTATTGGTCGAGCAGTCAATAGTCTCCGTTCTGGACATGTCTTCAGTACTCGTCGATTGCGACACCATTTCTAATGACTTTCGTTTCGTCGAATTCCTCGACTCTGTTCTATCACTCAATTCTTCGAGTCTTATGTTTTTAGAAGAAACCAATTTCTCGGGCGGAGGCGAACAACGAACCCAAATGTCGTCAAACTCGTCGTCTTCGGTATCCGAGTCTGACTTTAACAGCAGTTTTCGTCTCATCATTGGAGGGGTAATTAAACCGCTTTTCTCGAGCTCTCGGACTCGAGACTTATTTTGTGGATCATTGAGAAGATGACAGTCATCTGACTCGCCCTCCAATCTCTTCATCAATTTCCTCTTCTCTTCTCTCAAAACAATAACTCTTTGTTTTAGGTTCGGAATAGTCTTCACCTGATTCTCGAGTTCTTTAACGCGTGTCAGACTGAATGCCATCTGATCACGAATTTGCGACAAAACAACTCTCGACACGTTGGATGAGGTGCAGGACGAGGGGGCGGGCGATGATGGCGGGGAGACCCCTCTGTCTGAGTCAGCCATTAGCGATGATTTCATAATCGGTTCGCAATCACTGGAGTTGGAAAGTCTTCGGTTGGACTCATTCCAGGTCTCCTCGAACTCGTCGACCACATCTCCCAGACTGTAGTCATTGATCACTGAATTAATTGACTCTTTGTCTAAGCAATGGTTCTCTTTTGGTGACTGACTCTTGAGTTTGTTATGTTGACTGTTGAGACGATTGCCTGAAATGTTATAATTGTAATCACAATACGAGAGGAATGCATCGGTGGCTGCGCTTTGGGCGGATCGGGAGTTCAGCGTAGAAAAGGCTGAATTGATTTTCCGACGAAACGAATTACTGGTCCGACACTGAAGTGTTTGGGAAAGACGTTTGTCGGAAGGGCTGCCATAAAGAGCTGTGAGAAGTACTTCGCAGTAGTTTACGAAATCGGTGTCGATATGAAAGCCATACGGACAGCATTTACATGAGTTTAGACCATTGACTGCACTTTTGGCGGACATCACGACAGAGACACCAATT